AGAGCTAGGGCAATCGCCTACAATTCTCTTCAATTTAGCAGCCAGCTTAATTTTCCAGCTGTTCCTGGGCCAGCTGTAGTAGATCCACTGTTAGCTGTTCCTCAAAAATGGCAAAAAAAAAGCAGATTGTCCAGATATGGAATTACTGATACAGCCTTCAAACACAATGGGGCCAAGGCTTCTGCCATCACCTTAATGAAATTCCTTTGTGCAGAAGGAAGACAAAATTGGAGTTAGTCTCCCTTCACATGGAGTGATCTGGCATTCCTTCGTCAAGAACTTATAGATTCCTGCGGCAGGAATGCCAATTCAGATGCAGCCACTGTACATATTGAAATAAGTGACAAGTGGCTGCATTTGTAAGCGGCAGTCCGCATGTAATCATACATGGTAGGATTACATGTGGTTTGAGAGAGATGACTGTCGCTGTGTGCAGGATAGATACATCCAGTGACAATCATCTATCCCAAACTGTATGTAATCGTACCATGTATATGCACGACTGTCACTGACAAATAGGGATGGGCTCGGTGTTCGCGGTGAACTTGAGTTGGACTCGAACATCGGCAGTTCGTGTGTTTGATGAACACACAAACTGTCAGGGTGTTCGGCGGGCTGTTTGCCCACTGAGAACCCGGCACATGGCACTGTGCCCTGTGAGCCCTGATTGGGCACAGAGAACTGTGAGAGCCATGATTGGGGAAAGTCATGATTACTCTGCCCAATCATGGTTCACCTGTTACAACTGTAGACAGTTGAGTGGAGCTAGCTGTCACTGCTAGCCCCGCCCAAATGTTTATATGTTACCAGCATCTGTCAAAATGCCATTCTGCGGTGAGTGTTCATCACGAGTGAACGGGACAGGGGTCATCGGGTTTTTTAAAAATTATTTCTATTTTATTGTTTTATTTTTTCTTTCGTCGAGTCGTCATCATCATGGACAATGCTGGACGTTGTGATTGATGCTGGATTACTTTGGTGGATCCATTTAAAAAAAAATAAAAGACTTGTCAATAACATGTTTTTTTTCCTGATTTTTCCTGATTCTCGGCGTGGGAGCGAGCAGCGATAACGAGGTAAGTTTAAAACCAGTTCAAGCGTTTGTTTTTTTTTAAACTTCTTGCCTATATCTACTGCTTGCTAGCAGTAGATATAGGCAAAAAACTGGAGGGTTTAGAACCCCTTTAATTCACACTGCACAGTTTGGGAACGCATGTCAGTAAAGAAAACCCATTCCTTTAAATAAGGTTGTCTAATACACCAAAAAAGGCTCATGCACTATTTTTTAATAATTTTAATTCGGTGCACCAGAATGTACAATTACCATGCATTGGGGTGCGTGTGGGTACCATTAAGAGTGAATTAGCTGAGCCAAGGAGTCGGCTGGAAAATCTGCATACAATCAGAGCCGGCAGCCTATGAGCTGCCCGTTCTGAATGAGTATTCTGTCAGAATACAATGCAAAGAGCGGCCATTCCTTGATCGACGCACTGACAGCAGGAAGGCAGTGATGGAGCATGGCTCAGTAAGTATAAAAGCTTGGAGGGTGAGCTATCTTCAAACATTGTCTTACTGCCCTGGTTGGGGCAAGTGACAGTGTCCCACTGCACTCCACTCTTTACCCCTAAGTAAGAGAACTGGAGAAATGAGTTCATACATATCCGGCAACATTTAAAGAAGAACTCTTTAAACGGAGCTTCATTTGAGCCCCCTAGACAAAACAAGCACTTATACCTTGCAGTGTCGGGGTAGCCAAGGGCAAGTTTATTTCCTTACCTTTCTTTAAAATACTTAACATAATTTAGGGATGGATGCAGTCTTGTATTTTGGTTTGGGGCTGGCCTAGGCAAGACGAAACTCAGACCCCCCCCCCCCATATCCCCCACCCCTTCCTGCTTTGACTTTTTGCGTAACCTGTCATTCGCTGGATACCGTGCATACATTGTATTCAGCTTTTGACATGTTCCGCTATTAGCATAGCAAGAAAGCTGGGGTCTCAGGTGGGCTTTGCAGGATCTGTGGTGGGCTCTGCTGGGTCTATGGTGGGCTCTGCGGGGTCTATGGTGGGCTCCGCAGGGTCTCAAGGGGGCTGTGCAGGATCTGTGGTGGGCTCTATGGGGTCTCAGGTGGGCTGTGAAGGATGGTGGGCACTGCAGGTCTTGGGGGCTGTGCTGGATCTGTGGTGGGCTCTGCAGGTTAAGGTTACATTTTTTATATTGACAGGAGTGTACATTTAGAGCTAAATGGCAGGCAAACAGCTAAATTCACAGATGAAGAAAGAATGAAATAAATAAATTTGTATTTTTGTCCATTACATTCTGAGATTTATATACAGCTCTCCCCTACAGCATAAACCTGTATGGTAGTGGAGAAGACCTGATTTTTTTTTCTGCTGCAGTTAAAGGAGTTGTAAAGTCCAGGCATACACTATCCTGTTAAAACATCAGCATTGTAATAAGAATATATACTATAGCTGTTTTTAATAATGCAATCAAAGCTTGCTTGAAAAACTCCCATTTATGTAGTGAGTGCTGCCTTCTGTCTGCCCATCATTTTTATCAATTTCCCGTATTCCCAGTGTGCTTTGTGTCTCTCTCCCTGCTGGTTTATGTGATTCAATCTCAATTTCTCAAGATTACATAGCCCATCATGCATTGTTTCCAGCAAGCAATGATAATGTTACATTGTTCAGACGTTGAGTTCTAGTTCAGAAGGCAGGCTCTGTGTGAGTTGTGAGTGACACAAAGAAGTGCATAATCACAGTTCATTGTCAGTGCATTGAAGAAGTATCATCTTCAATAAGTAAGTACATACATCCATATGGTTATTAGGAGTGGGATAGAACGTATGGATTTTCAATGTTGAAATACATATTTATTTTTCATTTTTGACCATAGATAGCCTTTAAGTAGAACTTTGGAATGATGTTACTGGTGCAGAGTATCACTAGAACTACATCTCCCTTATACACCCTAAGTGAAACACATCCAATATAATGCATACATTGTTCACCCAGTAAATTATACATATGATCTACCCGCCCCCAAACCCACCCTCTGATTCATGTCTCTGTAGTACCCAGCTCACCTCACCTGGTATTGTATCTTTCTGTTCACCAAATGCCTTTGCAAACCCAGATATTGCCTTGTAAATATAGCTGTGACATCGTCACACTGCTGTATATTGCCTGTGCAACAGAGCCGTGAGCGGGATTTTATAAAAAAAACTGTAGCAGAATCTGGAGCAGTTGCTAATAGTAACCAGTCAGCTTCTCTCTTTCATCTTCAAAGCTTAAGGGCCCATTCATACATACAGTGGTGACAATTGTTTTCTATGTGCCCTGTTCACACTACAATGCAGAGGTGATGGGCGTTGATCCCCCCCCCCCCCTAGTGTTTTTTTTCATAAAAATTAGCCTGATCTATCTTTTTTTTAAAAGCAAATCAATGCAATGGTGTGAACCACACTTATTGCCAATCATTCATGTTTAGAATGCAAGGAAATGCATTTGGTGTTTTAAAACCCACCCTCGCCCCCCAGCCTAATTTTCTCCCATCAATACTTACAACAGCGCAAAAACAAAACAGAAATGAACCCTTATTTGTCAGCATACCACAAAAAAAGCAGCATTAAAATGAGGGGAGCAAACAAAACCTGTAGCAGCTGTGTACAGCAACAAATCAGCCTTTCTCTTTTATTTTCAGAGCTCAAAGTAGTATTAAACTCAATCTTTTTTACAATAATGAATCCAGAGCAAACAAATTGCTCAGCAAAGTATGTTTGCACATTATTGCCCAAGAACTTACAGTCAACATGTTTCCAGACAGCTGGTTCCAACTCTCTCGGTTTCCCTGAACTTCCTGTCTAGTACAAGATCACAAGGGACAAAGCAGTATCCAGCAGCTGTCCATCTAGGAGCTTGAAGAAGGGAGGAGGGGGGGGGGGGGAGTGTCTTGCTTTGCTGTGTGTATGTGGGGACATACAAAACTTACTAGCACACACAAGGGAGGCTCCATAGCACCTTGTAAGGGAAAGGAGGCACCCTAAGGGTTTGTTCACATCCTCTTCAGACCAGAATGTTTTTGTCTGGTCCAAAAACACATCTCCATTCATTCCTATGATAAAAAGTGAGACTAGTTCTCAGCACTGCGTTCAGTTCCAGAACGTTTAAAAAAAGAACCACATACACTATTTTTTCTGGTCGGGAATAAACCAAAAGTCATGCAAATGTACCAGAACTCACTAGAAATTCAATTGAAACGTAAAACGCACCAGAACGCATTAAAAATGCATAAAAAATGCACACACACATTTCCAGAAACACATACAGATCTGGTCTAGAGATGGTGTGAATAAGCCCTAATAATTAAAACAGGATATCAGGGCCAGTGCTCAGAGGACCAGCTGATTCTTCAGGAAGCTAAACCTTTTAAACATCAAGGAGCAGCATCCATTGTAAGTGATTTAATCAGCATTTGAAAAAGCTTAGAAACATGTCTGACTTTAATATCACTTTAATCTGAGCCAAATGAAAAAAAAAAGCTAATTAGTTGCCGTGGGCAACTGCTCCAGATTCCGTCTGCTCCCGTTTGTACCACAGCAGAAAGCTCCCAGCGACCGAAAAGATTGCGTCTTCAATCAAACGCGATTGCTGACGGGTTGCTCCGAGTTACCGCACACTGCTCTTTGTTTCTAGGACATCGATCTGAAAGCAGAGATGCGCAAAGAAAAAGGAAAAAGGACCCCCCTTTTATTTTGTTATTTATTTTAATATATTTTTTATTTTATTTTTGTATGTATTTTTAAATTATATTTATCATTCTGTGCAGCTTAACTCGTGTTATAACAGACACTAACCATGCAAGCACTAATACAGAAGATCTGCTGTGCAAAGGAGAAGAGATAGAATAGTTAGTGGTGGAATCTTTGGTGTTTGTGGCTGGGGGTGGAGGGATGATGTCATGTAGGGAGGGGAGGAGGGTGTTAGGTGGGAGAAAGAGTGAAGAGAGAAAGGGCTGCTTGCTTGGAGTGACTGGTGTGAAGCAGCATTGTGCATAGCAGAGAGGCGTGCTCTGTCCAGCAGCATGAGAACTGATGCTGCTCATGGAAGCCTGGACTGAGCTCCACTGGGCAGAGACGGCTCAGCATTGCTGACATCCACAGCTGCGTTCCACCCAGGCTGAGGACTGGCTGCTAAAAGACAAAGCTCCTTCTTGTGCTGCTGGAAATCTCAAGAACCCGGGAGACTGACAAGGCTTTGCTTGTCCGCGCATCCCTTTGGTAGCTGTTCAAAAACCTGGCAAAGTTTAACATGGCATTGATTATGGAACCTGTGAGTAAATGGTCCCCGAGCCAAGTAGTGGACTGGATGAAAGGTACAGTGCATGTCTCCTTTGCCTTTTGACATCCTGGTGAGCGTCGTGTTCTTTGCAATGTGTCATGTCCTGCTTAGCTGACTTTAATGGCTTGTGGTTGTTGATGATCACGCTGTGGATTGTGTTACTACAGGTAATTGCCTTGACCTGTGTGCATCAAGGCAGACCTGAGCGTGGGAACTTCCCCGGCTATGGAGATCATAGTGGACGAGGCATACCTTTTATAAGAGTCCTGCCAAATTGAGAGTTTGCATTTAGGGAAAACATTTGGGAGATTTCTATGAAATTCATTGGAGGAAAGCAAAATGAAGGTGGATTGTAAGGGTACAATAGGTTTTAAATGGTTCTTGAGGGTTATGGAAGCTCCTTAGAACTATCCGGACCTGTTCTTGTGCCAGGAAATGGTCCTTTTATATTTTATATTTTGTAATTTCTGTTTGTAGTAAAGGGGGAAAAAAAGTGTGTGTTATCAAATAAAAAGTAAAAACACTAAATGAAATAAACTAAACTATCTTGAATTATACTCTAAAACCCTAGATGTTTCCTTTCTAGCAAATTGCAGTTAAGCAGCTCATAATTGGCAAAATTTAGGCACCAATGAAGTTACTCAGCTCATCCCTGGTCCCTGCACTTATGTTGTTGATGATGAGGGGACCTTAGTACTTGCAAGATTGTGAACTGATGCCTTCCCTTTTTAGATCCGCTATGCTGCCTTAGCAATCACCGCTGTTCCATGAAAATTTTTTCTCTTTAACCATTTCCTAGGTAATCCCATTCACCTATTAAAAGAAGCGCACCTTCATCTAATGCATTTCTGCCTATAAAGTAGGTCACTATCAATTAACCGCGGTTTTTCTTTTCTATATGGAGTACATGGGTTAACACAACTAATTGCCTAATTAAGACTGATGTGAAATACAGATTGCTTCCCAGATCCACTTGTCCTCTTTTAATGTTTGCATGAGCTGTGAATGCTTTGGGGATTCATCAAAGACTTTTCAGTGCAAAATACAAAATTGGGGCAGTGAAATGGTGCCAGATCCATTCTAGAAATCCTCTGTCTTTGGGAACGAAGGGGATCTTCTGAATGGGTAGACTTAATGCAGGGTTGTGCTGCCAGGAGACATTGATTAATGACCCTTTAAAGATTTTTTTTTGCGTGGGCACGAAGCATTAACCCTTCACACCGTGATCTTTCTTTGCAGGTTCCTCTAAAATAGATGCATGCGTGTGGTTTATTATTAAACTGCATCATCTGACAGTTTGCTTGTGTGCTGGTCTCAATTTCTGTACCTTTTTAGTTACCTTAGAGCTGTAGGAACCCTGATGATGGGGAAAATCAATCATTCAATGCAAACCTGGATATTAGTGGAACTCGGATACTAGGTTTGGCATGTTAATTTATGGAGCTGAAGCTGTTGTGGTGGGAAGAGTGCACCCTGAAAGGGATTCTCCTGGAATATTTGTATTTTGGTTACTGCAGAGAATCACATTATTTTGGGGATTTCTGAATGTTGCCTCTAGTGATCTATAACAAAAAGTGTTTTTGTTTAGTCTTGGGCTTTGCTGTTTTAGGTTCCCTTCATACTGAGCTGAGGGATCTTTTGATCCTTTTTTTAGACATATTTTGAGCAGGTATTTTGCATGTTTGAGGATTGAGATCTTCTTCTTTTTATTTTTTTTATTAGCCAAGAGATCATATGAAAAATGCACCCTTCACATCTGTAAATGTGAAGGGTGCATTAGTTTTCTCCTTCTTTTTTTCCAGGCCAAGCTGTCCAATAATAGTGGCAGACGGGGTTGGAACATACAAGGGAAGTACCGATACCGCTGTCTCTGTATCGGGTACCGTTTTTTTTTTTCTTCTAGTACTCGCCAATAATGGAAGTCCCATTAAGGAAACCAGGCGGCATGTAATGACTCGACTCCCAGCTTCCTGATTAGCTAGGAAGCAGTCTCGATGCTCCCTCATCACCAGGTGACGGGGAAGCATGGAGGCGGCTTTCTGGCCAATCAGCAAGCCGTAGGGCGGGTAATGAATTGCTTGCCAGCTTCCTGATACCTTAAGTTCTTGCCCAAATACTCTGTATCGTTACCTCCCTAGAGCAGGCCATTTAACAATGACAGGGGTGCTTACAATGGTTAGCTTTTATTAATTTATGTAAAACCTTTATCCGAATAGTTAAAAAAAAAACTGTTGTAATTGCTTAAAAAGTGTTAGCTGGAGTTTAGATTAAATTTCTTAGTCAAGTCCTATTAAATCTGCTAGTTCATCTAAAGCTGTCCATACACCTATAGATCTTCTCCAATTTTTCTATGGTCAAATGGAAAAAGCGCAACAGATTCCTCCATCTACGCTAAACTGTCAAGATGGAGGAATATCCCGCTTGTTCAAGCTTCAGTATCTTGCTAGTGGGTACCGATGGCTCTCTAAATACCTGAACAATCTAATTGGATGCAGTCATTGTTCAGGTGTTTTGAGAGCCAGCAGGGCCGACTAGCAAGATACTGAAGCTTGGCCCAGCAGGAGATTCCTCCATCCACACAGTTTAGCGTAGATGGAGGAATCTGTTGCACTTTTTCCATCTGACCATAGAAAATATGCAGAAAATCTATAGGTGTATGGCCAGCTTTACCCTACCCTCCCCCACAGGATGAAAATGCTGCTGTCCAAGGGTGATTCTGTTTCTCCTTCATAGACCGGAACAACACTAAGGCCCCATTCACCATTTTGAGTAGCGTAAACGCACGCAGACATGTTCCAATGGGTTGTACATGCACGAGAAACGCGGATAAATAGCTAATTCAGCATTTTTAGCAGCAAGCATGCCACATTTGCATTTGGTGTGTGTCTTCCCAGCCGCTTTGGGTGCCATTATTAAGTAATGGCTTTGCCAACACGTTGCATGTCTTTAAAGTGACACTAAACTCGGGAGTTAAATCCTTAAAAATGTATTCAAGTACCTAACTATTAACATAAATGTATCTTATTTGTATATCACTCGGTTGTAGATCCTCAAATCATCTGTGAATTGGTGCTGACACTGTGTCCTTCCTTCTGAAGGGTGACTACTTTTTTCCCCAATGGTCCCTGTGTGCGTTGTAAAGTAGCCGCCCCTCCAAGCTCTCTCCTGTGATGGACTACAATCTCATGTTTAGTTTACTCATTTGTATTGGGATTGTAGTCCATCAAGGAAAGAGCTTGGAGCGGCGGCTTCTTTACAACACACAGGGACCATGGGGAACAAAAGTAGGCACCCTCCAGAAGGAAGGACAGTGTCGGCACCAGTTAAGAGATGATTTGAGGATCTACAGCTGAGTGATACACAATAAGAGACATTTATGTTAATAGTTAGGTACTTGAATGCTTTTTTGAGATCTTAACTCCTGATTTCAGTTGTCACTTTGGTGTTGCGTTCTCATGCAACACATTAACGTGTGAATGAGGACAAAGTCCCTGTTCACACCTAGGGGTTTTGTGGCTCAAAGGGCTAAGCACTACAAAGCTCAGAGGATTTCCATTATTTTCAATGGTAGCTGTTCACATGTGAGTGTCCTGTCGCCTGTAGCGAAATGCTTGTTGCTGGAAAAAGTACATACGCTACTTTTCTGCAGATTTCTGCACTTCAATGTGAATCCCTGTCAACGCGAGATGTCCACATCTCTCGGCTCAATGTTGCCTGTAGCTCGTCGCTCGTTCATTACCCTTTTTTGTGCAGATGTCGCGCAATTTGGCTACAATAGACTCTATATTGTCGCACATTACCGGCGATATTGCACGACATCACGCTACAGAAGGATCACTTTTGCACTGCAAAATGGAAGGAAAGAATGATGTCACATCAAGATCTTTTGATTGGTTACAGCCCAATGTAGCAGCCACAAAGTCCTGCCCAAAAAACGCGCTACGTAGTGCGATAAAATGTGCAATGTCGCTCAATATCGTGCAATGTAACTCCTAGCCGCTCAGTGCAAAATCGCGCGAAAAAAGCGCAATATCCATGTCGCTCGGTGTGATTGGGGTGTAAGAGACTGAAAAAAACCTCCTGAAACACTGACGCTTGGGTGTGAATGGAACTTAAGACAGGAAGTGTGTTACTGGCTGTATCACCAGGTGAAAATAAACGGGGGGGGGAACAAAAAATGGAAAACCTATGCATTTAACAACATTTTAAGGATTGGTAAGTTGCAATATATTCAATTTTTTTCTTTTGGGGTTTGGTTATGCTTTAAAGTATTACTTGAGATCTTTAATCCACTCATGATACAAGGAAGTTGTTCTCCATGGGCAACAGCTGCATATTGATCTTGTTTGTTCTTATCTGCCCCATTTGATATTCCTTAATTATTGTGCACATTTTGTATTCTGCGGTTTTCCTTCATTTATGGGATGATCAGGAGAGGATCCGTGCATGGATCCCCTCCTGATCGGAGCAGTATGGATCACCGCTGTGACATTCGTGCCCATCCAATTGTTTTCCTCAATCTTGCGATCAAACTGCTGGACCCCATGTCGGTCTATGGGGAGTTTGATGTAAACAAACATGTGTCTCTTTACATCAGATTACCCCCGATCGGCATGATCAGGTCCAGCGAAACGGATCTCTGATCTGTTTGTTATTCCAGACCTGGCCAGAGTCTAGGGCAACCTGGTGTAAACGGACACCTGTCTGTTAAACATGCCTGCTGCCCATAGACTACCATTGGGTATTTGATCAAGTCTGCTTGAAAAACTGACAGGTGGACTTGATCGGACTGCCCGTGTGAAAGGGGCCTAATATAAAAAGAAAAACCACAACGTTGTTCTTGCTTGTTACAGAAGTGTTCATAATAAAATAGATCTTAGTCATTCGTTTTATATAGAGACACAAGTCTTCATTCACACCTACAAGTCTACTTTTTTATGTGGGGTGTTTTTTGGGGGATTTATTTGCATGTTTTTCATGCATTTTAATGCTTTATGTCGTATGCATTTTTGTTTTAGCCAAGGAATGTGAAAT